CAGCTGATAAACTCTTGACTCCCAACAGTTGCAACCCCAGGGTGCTCTGATTGTCAAGCACAGCATGGAGCTGTCTGGGCTGTGTGTGAGCTCCTGGGCGTGTTGTAACAGAGACATTTTTATGATAACAGAGGGTGTGCATTTTAGTCAGAATTCTGTCAGGCATTTGCTGTGTAAACCTCTCAATTCTAATTGTGGAACAAAAAGCTCTGGGTTACCTTGAAGGGATTCCAGGCATCAAGTAAGCAAGCAGGTGGGAGGCCTGGGGGGTGGGGAGACTCTGAAATAGATCTGGGTAAGCTTGTAAGGTTAATCCAAAGATCTGAAGGTAAACCTGGTTCAAGAAGGATGGCCCACCATTGTGGATAGACAGGTGTCTCCCTACTAACAGCTGCAGCTGTTAAAGTCCTAGTCCTGAGAGGAGCATCCCACGGTGCCTGGAGCAGTATCCCAGGCTGCCTGGAGCAGTATCCCAGGCTGCCTGGAGAAACACCTCAGTGTGCCTTGAGGAGCATCCCAGGAGGAGCATTTCAGGGTGCCTGGAGGAGCATCCCAGCATTCCTGGGCTAGCATCCCAGCGTGCCTGCAGGAGCATCTCAATGTGTGCTCGTATCTCCTGCAGGCCTCCCTACTCCCACATGATTGTACCAGGAGTTCTTGTGCATCTGTGAGCTGCCTCTTGCTCGTTCCCTCTCTGGCCAGTGGCTCAGTCTCCAGCTCTTCCCCTTGCTTTGACATCACCATTTTTGTGTGCAGACGTTTAAATAAGAGAGCCTGTTTCAGGCTGTTTGCAAACACATTGATTGGGTGTTTTCATGTGTTTTTTTCTAATGTACTTCAAGAATCCTGAGGTTCCTGGAGACTGCACTTCTAAGATGCACTTGTTCATAAGAGGTAAAAGTCTTTACGGAACACAAATAAATCCATGTGGAAAAGTCTTCTCAGAGCACCCAGAATGATTTCTTAAACTTCATTTTGAAACACTGACAGGAGGAGAGAAGAGTAAACAGATTCAAGAAATTGGGGTCACAATAAGGCAAGGTTGGTGGTTTTATGAAATAAGAGCATTCAACTGCCTCCAGCAGTCACCTCCCCTGGAGACCACAGGAAGGCACACAGACATGTCTAGGCCCACATCTAGTAACACAGCAGAGTCTTTTAGTGCCCATTAGCAGTGTTCAAACAGTGTTAGTCTTGTGGGCTGGGCTTAGTCAGGGTTTCTGTTGCTGTGTGACAAAACACCATGAGCAACTTGGGGAGGAAACGGTTTATTTGGCATACGCTTCCACGGAATATTTAGTCCATCACTGAAAGGAAATCTGGGCAGGAACTCAAGTACAGCAGGAACCTGGAGGCAGGAACTGAAGTAGAGGCCATGGAGGGTTCTGCTCACTGGCTTGCTCCTCATGGCTTGTTCAGCCTGCTTTCTTATAGAACCCAGGGCCACCAGCCCAGGGCTGGCACCACCCACAATGGACTGGACCCTGACACACCAATCACTAATTAAGGAAATACCTTAAAAGGCTTATCTACAGTCCAACCTTATTGGAGGCATTTTCTCAACTGAGGCTCTCTCCTCTCAGAAGACTCTAGCTGTGTCAAGTTGAGCAAAAACTAGCCAGGCCAGCCAGAAAAGCTGGCTTATACTAAGTCTTTGCTGTGGCATTGATGAGCTGGAGCTGTCCACAGCTGGGTTTCTACTGAAGGCTTAAAAAGCTTTAACATCATAGTTATCCTTTTAAAAATCAATTTCTGTCTCTTCTCAGACTATGTGTATTATAGTTTCACAAAGATCGTAATATCTCTCTGAGGCATGACTCATATTCATTGTTGTGGATCTACTAATCCTGAAGAATAATCAGGCCCTTTGTTTTATGTAATTCCCTCTTCATTTCCCAAAGACTCTGCTTGGAGGCTTCACTTGCTTTGTTTCTGTTTTTTTTTTCCCCCATTCATACTCTTGAAAACAGTTTCTTTTGCAGGGATTTGCCCTTCGGTTGATAGAAGCCACTGAAAATTCTCTTGCAAGGTTCTCACCAAACTCAGTATCCCAGCATCATTTTCCACTGTCTATATCTGCTCTTCCGTCTCCTGAGTGACAAACACTGCCTCTTCTCTCTCATATACTTCCAAGTATTTTATTTTGCATATATAAATTGGAGCTCAAGCTGAGGTGGGGAAGCTAGAAAGATCTTTGTGGGGGCGAGTGACGGGAGAAAGATAGTAGGTTACAGGGAAAATGAGAGCAGGACAGAAGGCTTCAGCATGGAAGGGTGGGGGAATGTGGGGACTCAAGGGTGTAAAGGACAGGGCTAACTCAAGGGAAGAGGGTGCGGAAAACCATATGGGAGGCTACATCTCATTTTTTCCAGTCGTGGAATAACAGAACACTTGTAAGAAGAAAGAGGAGGGGCAATAATGAGATTCGACAGAGCTAGAGGATGGGGAATCTGGGAGAGAAGTGGGTAGTGTGTGGGTTAATTAAAACTAAGTATGTATGAAGAAGTCTTATGGAAACATAATTATTAAGCTAATTTCCAAATAAAACTTTTAACAACAAAAGAGTTTGAACAGAGTTATAATCACGTATGGGTGGACAAGGTCACTATCTTTTGTCAGTCCTTCCCCACACCCTATTTGGATTTTTCAAGACAGCGTTTCTCTGTATAGCCTTGGTTGTCCTGGAACTTGCTCTGTAGACCAGGCTGGCCCCAGACTCACGGAGATCCACCTGCCTCTGTCTCTTGGGTGCTGGGATTAAAGGTGTGTGCCACCACCACCCAGCTTGCCAGCTGGACTTCTTCAAACTTTGTTTTACTCTTTGTCGGCAAGATATCTAGGTGTTGCCGAGAATTTGTACAGCTCGTTAGCTTGCTTCCCTTACGTTGAAAGTCGCTCACGGTAGACTTCCGCATCCAGTTGTCACTGTAATATACTCTTCCTCAATCCAATACTTTTCATAGGTTCAGAACATTCTAGCCTCTCACCTTACAGCTTCTGTGGCTTTGTTGTCTCTCAAATATTATGATATTCTTCATAAAACTTGTCACCTTCAGTGGATGCCATCTTTCAAGTGTCTTACACTCCATTACCTTTTGTACAGTTTCTGAGGTGCTTGATTGATTTCTAGGAGATATGTGATTGACTATTCAAAGAAGACATGTTCAGAAATAGCATTGACTGTTTTTGTTGTTGTTGTTGTTGGTTTTTTGTTTTTTTGTCTGTTTTTTTTTTGTTTCTCCAGAAGGTAAAATTGCTTCTTGGATCACTTTCTTATCACTTGCAAGAATTTTTTTCTACTTTATTTTAGATTCTCTTCAAAATACATAGTAAAATTCAGGAAGTGTCTTCATACAGAAAACAAGTTAATTCCCAGTGAATAAATAGTTAAGATTTGTTGGTGAGTGAGCAGCCAGTCAGAATGTTTCTGATTGTATTTGAGCCTCTAGTCTTCCTGACACTGTCTCCTTACCTTTAAATGGCAAGTTCTTCTGTGAGTTTAAAAGTGGCTCATTCTTGTTTGTCACTTGAAGTATAAATTAATTCTTAGAACTCCTATATCCCCTGCTAAAAAGTAGTCTGTGCCTTCTATTGTTAACCATGTCCATTACAAACAAGCCTGCTAAGTTTCCTTGGTTTAAGTGATTTTATACTACAAACATCTGAGATCTAATATTAAGGAGTTATAAATTCTGAAATCTGTCAGTACATGTGCCCATGTGTGAATTTGGGCAAGTGTATAAATGTATATTTGTCATACATAGTAAGACCCTACCATGTTTATTTACTTACTTAAGTTTCCTTCCAGATCATTGGGAATGAATGTGCATGAATTCTCCTCTTATTCTAGAATACAGGAAGAAATCCAAAAGTCTACCGATAGTTTGAGTTTGGCTATAATGCTGGGTCTCCTAACATCTTCAATTGATTTTCTTGCTTAATTATTTGTTTTTACCCTGCTATCAACACAGATGGCCATACTTCTCCTGTGTGAGGCTAGAGGGGAAACTGGGTGGCCCACCAGAGTTCCACTGCCCATGGTAGTGTCTGGTTGGAGCTGATAACTCAAAATCGTGATGACAGTCGCTGTGTCTCTGGAAGTTTTGGGGGCTTAGAAGTCATGAGCCCCACTCAGCAGTTCATTCTTTAGCAGCAGGCAGTACTCTATTTTCCTTGGCTTTTTCTCCCAGCGAGTATTATAAGCCCTGATTACTGTCTTCTGCTCACTTTAGCCATAATTCAGTAGAAGCTATTTTCACCCCAGGAAATACAGATAGCAGTTGTGTGATTGAGAACAATGTCTTACAGTGCAAATGGCTAGAATTTGATGGAGACTAGTCTGGTTATCCTTATAGGCAACTCACTGAAATAAAAAGGTTTCATTTTGTTTGTTTCATTGTTTTTTATACAGTTTGAATTGCATCATCATTAAGGCTAACTGTTCATTAACTGATAATGATTTTGTCTCTGTAGAAAATCAGACTTACCAACTACAACCTACATACACTTAATGGGGTCATTGATTTATTCAGGTGATACCAAGGAATTCCAATATATTCACATTTAACAGAAATATTTTTAAAGTGTATTCTTTTTGTGTATGGGCTTCATTAATTGCTAATCAAGTAGCTTAATCATGTTGAACCTGACTGAAGAGAAACAATAGTTACTTAGGTGTGGTACTTATAATTTGAGATCTTCAGAAAAATGACACCTCAGCTGCCTGCTTAGAAAATCTTTTCTATATTGATGGTGTGTAAATGAGCAGAAATTATGACTCTTTGGTGTTTGATGGATAGATGGTTGTCTAGACCAGCATAGGAGATGGAATAGATCTTAGCTTTACTGAAGCACAGAAGTGTAATGACCTTTATAAACCCTGGGCCCCTTTCTTAAATCTGGGGGTGAAAACAGGGAGCAAAGATGTAGAAATTATGCAGCAGCCATTATATAACCAGAAAAAAATGAAAAGATGCTACAAAGAATCTGTTCTATTTCAGGTCCTCCAGGGAAACGAGGGAAGAGAGGTCGAAGAGGAGAGTCTGGTAAGTGACTACCTTGTGTAACTCAAGTTCTGCTGTAGTAGCACTGTTTGTTCCCATCAATTAGTGGTGCCATTCCCCTGTTGGAAGGTGTGTGTACGTTTGGCACTTCTAGACCTTGAATTTAAGAAGAGGTCCTAATTTCCAACAAATTCTAAGAAGGTAGCATTGGCAAAATGTTGTCCATTATGGTTTGCTAACTACAGACACTCCCAGCCCCCAGTTTTAGCTTGCTTGGTGATCAAGGTCAACCCAGCTGTGTGTTCCTTGGTGGGATTCTCACCCACACATGGTATGGCAATGTGACCATGTGGCCTCTCTCTGGGTGACCAGTGTGGGGGTATTTATTTGTCTTAGCTCTTTAAGGAGAACACCTCAGAAGGCTCTATTATATTATCCAAGTGGCAGTTGGTCATACTGCTCTGCCATTCTTATGGAATGTAGAAGTGGCTCCTGGTCCAGCCACAGGGCTTCAGTGATGACGAGCAGTGTCGTTAGTCAGTCTGGAGTTTCCATGTTGCCAGTGAGGAAGTGGAGCAGTGAACAGAGCTGCCCAGGGCTGTTACAACCCTTTTGTCCTGATTCCCACTGCAGTAGCTTGCACTTTCAGGACAAATTCCTAGAGGTTAAGTAAAATAGGAAAGGTCAAATTAAGATATTTCTGAAACCAAGGTACAGCAATAAGGGAGGCCAGTTACTGCTCTAACTCCAAGATGTCTGAGATGTCAAGAGGGTCAATGTCCAGAGGCTTTCTTATAAGAACATCAGTTCTTCTTTCATGACGACTCCAGTTCTGGAATGGGGCTTTCCACTAGCTAGTGTCAGTGTTATCAATAGTTAAGACAACCACTGGCCAGGTGTTGAAATAATAGAACCTTAGCTTGTCATGAAGAGCAGGCAATAGGCTGAATAGGGGATATTCCATTTCCTTTCCCCCCAAAACAAACAAACAAAAAAACAGATGGTAAAGTGAAAAGAATTATGCAAGTTCACCAACCAGGAGGGATGGTTGCTGATTTCTGAGTAGTTCTCAAGAACTGTCCTTAGGCCTCCTGAATCTAGATGTCTGGACAGAGTTCATAATAGAAGCTTTATCACGGCCTTTAAAAATTAAATGTTAGGATTAGCATACACAGTAATGGGACTCATTTTGGCATCTTCTTGCATATGTGTTACGGCAGTTTGTTCTCATTTGTTCAAATTCCCCAATACCTGCCCCACCCCATGCTTCCCCCACTCCAGCTGGTCCCCCCAGTGTAGTTTTGAGGGAAAAGAAATGATAAAAGTAATCACCAAAATAATCTTTTTCAAAAGATTAGAAGGAAGATGAAAATTGTGTACTCATGCAAAGTTCTATAGACAAGATAAAAATCACCTCCCAACTGCCTAGTCACTTAGAGTTGGTGTTTGGAGCATATGGTGTGTGAACTACAGAAATGTTCTCAGCTTTTGCCTGTGCTCTGGTTTGACGAAACCCCTGGAGACACTAGGACTGGGCTCGTATGTACTGACAGAAGCATTGAAGGAAGGTCATCCTTCAAGGAAAGCTTTCAGCAATTAGGATGGGCTTTGCTGATTTGAGTGTGTTTATCAAGTTCAGTTCTTAGGAGTAGGCTATCAAAAGTTGTCAAGATTCTCCTGGATCGTATTTTACTTAGACTCACATGTATTACACAGTTTTATTTCAAGTTCCCTGGGTCTCTCAGCTACACGTGAGTAGCTTTGGAGAACCCAAAAGTCTGTCCAAATCCTATGTACAATTTGTGTTTGGGCATATGTTTATTCTTTCCTGTCGTCTCAAAGTCTGTGATATAAAGGAGAGACTTGAGAATCACTGGGTTCTAAGTGTCTTTTGTGCTTAGTGTTGTGATGGGGTTTGTGATGGTTCATTGTATTAACCAGTTTTAACATTTGCATCCACTGACTTCTCTTTCTCTCTCCCTGCATCCTGCCCACAGGTCCTCCTGTAAGTATTGCCTGATGATTTCGGCCCTCTACATTAATCAAGATCCACGTATGTTAAAACCTTGTTAAAAACAGATATGGTTGACGCTCTATTTAGAAAAATGTGACTGACCTTTTATGAATGTTTAAATGTAGAAAATGATTTCCTTACTACACAATTTTGGGTCATGTGCTATATAGAATGCAATGTTGGGGTGGACTATATTTTTTATGTTGTCACACACTGATTATTCTCTCGAGACTTTGGGGTAGCATATGAAGCTTCTGGTTTTGAGTCTTTTTCCTGGAATTCTGAGGTTTTCTTTTGCAAGCAAGTCTCCAAGCTATTTCACACTTCTCTTTTCATCTGTTTAAACTCGTGTCTGAGATATTTGGATTTGCTGGTCTACCAAATGTAGATGGCAACATGATCATGGAAGTGATACCCCCTGTGCGGCCGGGACCAGTCCTCCCTTCTTAGACAGAACTCCCTTTGAAGTCTGTTGGAGGCTTGCCTGCATAAGAGCCTGAGACAAGGCCCTTGGAGAGTTTGTGTTCCTTTCTTTCCTCGAGTAGGTCATAACTGTGGCATTCCAGTCTGCTTTGCACTCACAGGAATAGATTATCTTGTCAGCTTTGAGCTCGATGCATTTTTGAGTAATATCCTGGCTATCTGCTGTCTGACCCTGGTGTTTATGCTGTGCACCGGGCCTTTTCAGTAGCAATGATCGTTAGCCTTGAGATAGTTTCTCATCCCAGATTCTACGTGGCCAATTTATCTGAGGCCAGCACAGTCCAGGGAGAGGGATTAGCACACACTTGTTGACTTGCTCAGAGGAAGCATTGGCTTCTAAATATCTTTTGCAGTCTTCCTGCCATGTTCAAGGATGGGACATGAATCATGTTTGCAATGATCTTGCTACTGTGATTGACTTATCTGCTCTTTCTTAGTGCTAGGCAGACAGCATGGCCCAGATCTAGAAACCTTTACTCTTTGCCTTCATATTTAAATTTCTGTCTTTAAAACTCAAAACAAAAAAACACACTGCCCCAGAGGAAAATCCCTGGGTTACGGGGAGGGGGTAACATGTTCAAGGCTTCTTTCTGTGGAATTTGTATTTGTCATACAGATTTGAGAAGTTCATTCTCATGCCTACAAGAAGGTGACCTTGAAGATGCAAGTAGATCCTATTTGACCCATTAAAACAGCATGTAGGCTTATTACCTGTGTTTGCTTGGGCTGTCTCTTAGTTCAGATTTTCTTATAAAAGATTTTGCACATCTTTTCTTACTGTATAGAAAGAAAGAAAAATAAAGAGAGAAAGAATGAGCTAGGTCTCAACTATTTGGTGTGCAATTGTAAAGGTACTTTGTACACAAAATGCCATGTTTATGCATAGCAGTCCTCTGATATTACCAGCCCTATTTTCCAGTGATGAAACTGGGGTTCATTTAGATTAATTCCATAAGGCTGCATAGCTAAGGGCTTGTGAACTTAAAATGCAGTCTGATGCATCTGATTTTATATAATTTCAGCTTCCTGCTTAGATGTTAATGATTGTGTTATAACACAGACCATTGTTATATAAAGTTAGGCAGACCATGGTTAAACCACATTCCCTGGCATTAATAATTACATACAATAAGAGCTTGGTCAGTCAATGTAAAATGGCTGCATTATAAAGCAAGCATGACCGCCCCACACACAACACACTCTCTCTATCTTGACTTCATTTCAAACAAGTCATGAAGAGGGCAACAAACTACTTCAAAGACATAAATTGTGGGCATGTGTGTTCATGCAGAGTAAGAGATAGTTCAAATTGTTCTCGTGAGGGTTAGATGAGAAACCAGTTGTAGTAGCTTAAATGAGAAATGCCTGCCCACATAGGCTCAATCAGTTGAACACTCTCCCTGGCTGGTGGCGCTCCTTGAGAAGTCAGGAGTTACAGCCTTGCTGGAGGGAGTCAGTCTGCCTATGCGTCTGCCATGCCTCCCCCATGATGAACTCTTACCTCTCTGGAGCTAACCAAGAATAAACTATTCCCACAATTCACTTTTGCTCCTGGTGTTTTATCACAGCAATAGTAACTACTGGTACACTAGTAGTTGAAAAAAGAGGAGAATATATGTAGACTATGCAGCCTCTTTTAATGCAATGAAGTTGTATCTTGTTGCCTATGATGCAGTCCTCTTATGGGTGAAATTATCTCACAGTGAAATTCTGTTGAGCCTCTCATTTTTAAGCCCCGTCCAGGATTTCTAAGAAGTAACCATCTTCCATCTAATTTTGCTTTAGAATAGGTAGCTTTATAGGCAATCTCTATGGTATGGGTTATATTTGAATAAATATTAATGAATAGTGGCACTGTTATGATTAGATATATTTACTATCAATGTATTTATCTACAGACAGCATCCAACTCTTGGCAACTTTAATGCCTTACATTTCATATTTTAAACATCATTTCAATTTTATATGTACCTTTTCTTTTATTCTTTTCCATGAGCTGAAGTCTAAAGTTGATGCAATCCTATTTTTAGAAAAACTTTATTTCCCTAATTTGTGTCCTTAAAATGTTCTCTGCTATCTCCACAAGTAAGAAACTACTTCCTGTGTAGATAGCAAGGTGTGTTACTATTTTAACCACAGGTGCCTTTGCTTTCATTCTCTATTTTTCACATGACGGCCATGGGGAGTCTGATAAGTTGACAGTCTTGCTTCTGGTGGGTAGCCCTTGGCACAAAACCTATAGCAAGGATGCCCTCCAGAAGTCTTTCTTGCCGGCCTCCTCGGGTGCTAGGACTTCCTGTGAACAGAAACTGAGGAATAGCCTTGTACCCTGCTGTTCACTTTCTTGCTCTTCACTTTAATTTCTTCATCAGAAATACTCAGTAAGTATAAAGGGCAACTTGGGCACATTGCAGTAATCCACAATGAGTTGACTGACCTAGGGGAGGATGGCATATCTTACTGTCTTTTGTTCTTGCTAAAACTCACCTGTTTCTTGTTACCCTCTCCCAGCAATATTCTCAGGATTAAAAGAATAAATAAAAAAACATGCTTGATGATAAAATTTATCAACTTCCTACTTATATTTTCATTTGATATATTTTGGAAAACTTGGATATAACACACTAGAATGTGTGGGTATACATAATTACATGCTTTTCTTGTCAATTTCTGTATTTTTATATATTGAGGTTATTTATGATTTAAAACTTGAAATACAACTTGAATAAGATCTCACATATCAATTTAGAGTAAGCTGTTAAGCCTTAATCCTTTTTGACAAAAATATTTATAAGCAACTTAACTGGAGCAATTTTATGATTATAAATAGGATTTGCCGGTTTTTCTATTCATCTGCTTTTCTTCTCGTGGAGGTAACACTTGAGAATCCTGCTCTAAGGATCTCCATGCAGATGCTTTAGGCCTCTAGCTCTGATAACACAACTGTATTCACTCAAATTATATGTTAAATCATTGTGTTTGGTTTTGGATAGCTTGTGTAGGTGTGTGTGTGTGTGTGTGTGTGTGTGTGTGAGAGAGAGAGCAAGAGAGAGAGTGAGAGAGAGAGAGATGAGGCATCTTCCTCAGTTGTAGTCCACCTTGTATTTTAAGACACGGTTGTTCACTCTCCCTGGAGCTCACCAATCTGAGAGCTACCCATTGAGCTCCAGGAATTTGTTCTTCTGCCCCTCCAGTGTGATGGTTATCCCACACCCATGCCTTACTTTTAATATGTTAATATGTATTGGGGAATCTCTGGTCCTTGAGAGCTTAACAGCAAGCACTTTGCAACTGAACCATCTCTAACCCCTTTTTTAGGCATATATATATATATATATATATATATATATATATATATATATATATGTCCTGAAATATAAAGCAAAGACTTAGGTATGAATTGGGAAAATAACCTCATGATTTTGAAAATGAGAAAATATCTCTCCCCCATTCTTACAGTCTGTCCTTCTGTCCAAAAGGAAGTTCTACTCAAAGTCGCCACAGGCCATAGAATCAAGCAGGTCTAATAACTGTAGCCAGACAAAGAGTCAGGAGACCCTTCATGACTGACTGTTTTACTTGTATGGGTCCACCAAGCCCTATAATTACTCTTGATTGACAGAGATATGATGTTATTGTTGGTAGCTTGAACCCTCCGAGGTGTGAAATCCGATGCTGTTGCAAGCCTGTTTTGTTCCATCCACCTTCAGCAATTGTCAGCTCAGTTTGAATGTTAGAATCTTGTTGACAGACGAGTGAGGCAGCCGGAGCCAAACTAAGCTTACACTATGGAGGATGAATTAGGAAAAGAAATCTTTGAAGAACTTTAAGACACAAAACTCTGACATCTCTACTGCATAATGAAGAAACAGCTTAGGTTCTCTCACTTGAAAATAATTCTTTTCCAGCTTATAAGTACAAGTGATAGCAATTACTCATGTTTTGCTATTTCATGTATCAATTTCCATAACACCTTTGTGACCAAGACTGACTATACCCATTTTATAAAGGAGGAAACTGGGGGATGGGCCCATCTTATAGCTCGTCCTACAGTGTACATCAATTACGAGCAGAAGTAGAATTTGAACCCAGGTTTATCTCTCTACAAAACTCATTTCCCTCCATGTTCTAAAGATGTTTTCTCAGGCAAGTTGATTTTTAGTGTCACTGTTTGATGCTGCAACGATAAACAGCACACTTACTGAAAGTATAAGTATTTATTGTAGAAACTACTCACAAGAGAAAAACAAGCAACCCAGATGAGCAGAGTATTTTTCCGCCACCAAACTGGAAGCCGGAAAAGAGAGCGAGACGATCTGCTGATCAGTCTTTTATTCCTTTCTCAGTAGGTAGTTCACTGCCTATGTCCTAAAGTGGGTGTGGTTAGTGGTAATGGTAAACCACCCTTTTACTACCTCATCTGTATGTGCCTCTAGTAAGTCACATGGCTAATGGCGGAGTACTGTTCCCTCCTACAACTGTCTTCTCTGTAAGTAGCATCCTTATTG